CCCAGTATGTGTCTCATATTATCTACAGATAAACCTTTCAAGTGTGCAACATAGTTAATGTTTTCCATCTTGTGAATATATAAACCACTGAGGTAAGTCTAGCTTAGTGCTAATATATAGCAAAAGTTTAATAAGTAACTGATCTAATGTCATCCTAAATTCTCTATTAAAATACTCAAATCTTAAGACAACAAATACTGTTCTAAATAGGAAACACGACCAACCTACACAGATAGAATAAACCTGTGATTCCTCATGTTCCTATGGCCCAACATCAATTATTTTCTTAATGTTTGTGCTACATCTTTTCCTATAAAAACCCTTATATGTTCTTAGCCAAACAGAAGGCTAAAAGGTATGTTAATCCAGGGCTAACCAAGGCCTATTGCATGTGCTAAGAGCACTGTATACACCCAGAAGAAAATGGCTTTCTCTTCAAGGGACAGGACTTACATGCAATAGGCACTGTCTAGAGAGACACATGTAGCTCAGCTCTTCACGGGACTGTATGGCCTTAGCAAGTCATCTAAGCCCCCGGAGCCTTGGCTGCCTCATTTGGAAAGGGTGGCAGTGGGGATCAACTGTGGAGGGTAGACAGGGGATGCTCCTAATGGTGTCTCCCCTTTTATGTGTAGTTTTGTTGAGGTATGACTCACTTGTGAAGCAGTTTACATATCTGAAATGTGCTTTTGGTATATTCATACAAGCAATGTGCTCTTCAGCTGTTTCCTGACCCCCAGGGCTCTATCTTCCCCAGCCTGAGGAAATAACTATGTTCTTTTCCTACAGACTTGATTATTCTGGGTATTTCTATAAATAGAAATGCCTCTTGTGATAATCAATGTTTCTGGAAGTCACTATTGGAAAACTCATGTGCGTAGGATAGAGAATACAAGAGGACAGCAAAGAAAAAAAGGCAACGTTCATAATATTAGCATCATGACCGTCTACGGTAAGCACAGTACTCTGATAAGTACTGGGGAAAATACATCCCTGAAATGCCTTGGGTGTGGTAAGGCATAGGAAAGCACACACACACATAGTCTCTGCACATGTGTGCACATGCTATCAGGTATTGGACGGTCTCCTGTCAGTGCTTTGCTTTTCTCAATAAAATGTGAATTAGGTCATGACAAGAGAAAGAGGTTGAGGTGTTTTCAGAGAGAAAACAAGGTGTAAACTAATTTTAAGAGGAAAGGGGGAGGCCAGGAAGGCAGTATGCATGCTTGACAGAACTGAAGAGCTACTTGATGTTCATGACCATGAATTTAAAGTTGGTAAATCAGCAGGGTTTTAAGAGTTGGCTTTGTTTTGTTTTTTTTTTCCCCCTAGCTACATTTAGCTGGGGGAAAACATGAAGAAACTGTGTAAGTTGAAAGATGTAACCAGACATCACCTGTACCCAAGGCTTGAGCTCAAAATAACTTCATGATGGTGCTCCCATTTCTAACGCCATGACAACTTCCTGAGAGTCATGCCAGGTAACTTCATACTTCCTATTAGCCGGAATAGGCTTACTCTGAAAACAAACACTCTCAGCAATAACTGTTCTACTACTGCTTCATATTCATCTCCATAGACTTATCAAGGCCCTACATTCCCAACAATTCACTAGGAGGTTGGGTGAGTGGCTAGAATCAACCCTTGTCTAATTCTGAAGTTCATCTTCCTTTATTCTATCATTACACCCAAATCTTCATCTTATAAACAAGAACTGGAGTCTAGGGATACTGAAAGATTCTTCCATTTTCTAATGGTGCAGACACTGGCTCCTTTGTGAGCACCCTGACCATCTCCTTTTAGGCTCTTGCTGCTACCATTCCCATGCTCAGCCTATAGCTGAGTTATATTATGTCTTTCCTCAAATTCCTTTCTGATAGCTATGCCTTCCATTCATATCTTATTCCTTTGTCTTTTTACTATAATTTAGGCCCTTATTACTTAGGCCCAGATTATTCTAACAGCCTCCTAATCTGGCTTCCTATAATATTAAGATGTTCACAGCAGGTAAATTTGTACAAAGATTAATGTTTACACAGAGTTAAAAAGAGATGGGAGAAAAGGCAAGTAACTTCTGCTAGACACCAAGATTCTGGAGGCATAATTAGAGTAAATGTGGTAATAGTTGTGTGACTATAGATACATTCAGGGCTTTAAAATAAACACTTTCAACAAGGGAGCTCTATCTCAATAAAGTTATTTTTTGTTTGTTTATATGTTTTAAGGGCATTTACACTGTATGTGGAGGTCATATGACAACTTTGTGGAGGTGTCTCTCTCCCTCCACCTTTAGGTAGGTTCTGGGGATTGAACTCAGGTGTCAGACTTGTGCAGCAAGTGTTTACCTGCCGAGTCATGCCAATGGCCTTTTGTTTTCCATACTCATTCATCCAGACCATTACTGACAACATTCAGGCTGTTGTCAGTGTTCTGTCAGTATATCTTTGACAGTATATATCCCAGTATAAGTTTCTGGAAACAGGAACGTTGTTGCAAAGGGCAAATCCATTAGTAATGGCTCCTGACACTGCCTAGCTCTCTTCCATGGAAGATGCTCCATTTTGCATTTCCATAATAATAGATCGGAATGCCATTTCTCTAAAGCCTAATCAAGAGAAAACTTGGCCAAACCTGGTGATTTTTGCCTGTGGGACAGGTGAAGAATGGTATCTCAATGGAGTTTGAATTTGAATCACTCGATTCAAGGTTAGTATCTTGGCTAGGATGCAGTGGTTTACACCTGTAAATTCAGCACCTGGAGGCTGGCATGGGAAGACTGCCATGTGTTGAGGGCTAGCCAGGGCTAAAGTGAGACTGTCTCAAGAAAACCCAATCAAGAATGACAATAACTTTAGGACTTTTGTATGTGTTTAAAAGGCTTCTGCATTATTTCTGTGCCACCCCCTTTAGTACATCTTTCTGTAGAGCTGTTGGCCTTATCTCATTTAGAAATTCTTTACAGATTAAGGGCAACAAAAATTGCAAATATTTTATTCCAATTTATTTTACTACTTTGCTTAGTTTCACCCCAGCAGTTCTTTCCATTTATATCTGTCCATCATTTCCTTTCTGCTTTTTGATTTGGAGGCTCAGTCAGGAAACACCTCTCTCATTTCCAGAAGATTTCTTCTATGAAGAGATAGCCTATGTTTTCTTCTTCTATGTATTATGAATTCACTTCCCTAATTGATTTGAAATTTATCTTCCTGTATGGAGTGAGGAATGGAATAGTATTTACTTTTATTCTATACCAACATATTTGAATAAGGCTTACTTGGTTGGGCTATGTATGTATTTATTCAAACATTCAGTCTAGCCAAAAAGTGTGATACGCTACTCTAAGACCAGGAGATTTCATGCTCCACCTCTGAGAATACAAATCTCCATTTCTGGAGGATGCAGATCATTTAGACAATTGATACTCAGTGCTTTGAAAGGCTTTCAGCATTTCTGAGAACTCAGGCCTGAGCCACACCCACTTTAGCTGTGTCAGGTTATGATGAAATGAAGCCAGAAGAAACTAAGTCCTAAGTGAAGATATTCATTAATTAAAATTGAGACTAAAAGTATGTTAGAACTAAATAGGACCCTTACAAAAAGATAAAATGTTGTATATCTTTTTGTCTAAAATTAGTCCGTGTGATTCATGTATAGATGTTGCTGCCTTGAAAGAACAATTCAGAAGTAAAGGGAAACCTATTCTCTGAGTCCCTGAGGTTCGATTCCTAAAACATACAGAGAATGTAATCCACTGTATTCATGGTCTCAATGTTTAATCCTTTCTCATATTGACTTTATGTAATAAATGCACTTTAATATCTTAATGAAAAATTTAACTGACTCTTATCATCAGTATAATTAGAACCCATTCTAGGCACAAGATAATATCAAAATTTATCATGTACCCAGAGGAAAATATATAATGCTGTGAATAATTTAAGGTAGGCATTATTTTTATTCCCATCTTCTATATGAAAAATCTGAAACAAACTTTCAGAAAGAACCAGACTTCCAGATGAGAGAAAAGAAACAGACTGCAGTCAGATTCCCAGAGCATGAGTCTCCCCTGCTCACTTCAGTCATCAGGAAGAAACAGATTCATGGTTATGAGAGAGAGAGAACTTCACAGCCATGGGTAACTGACAGCCCCACTCTGGCTACCTAGTCACTTCACTTACATCATCTGAACTTCAACACTGTAAAGCTTGTCCTCATTCAGGTAGTGATGTCGATGTACCGGGAAACAGCAATGAAGTAGGTGAAAGAGAGATGGCAAATGTCCTGAATAACATATTGCTGGTACTGACATTTTCATTTTAGAGACAAGGAAGATGCAGTTTTGGTCTCTGACCTGATCAGAGTCTGATCAGGTTTTGGTACTTCTGAATCTTCATCAAGTGTTCTTTCCAGGATGCCACACTGGGGGTCAGATTAGGTAAGAATGACTCTGCTGCCTGTCTGTCCACCTCTCTACCAAGTCAGAGTACTATAGATAGGTATCACTTATGCAAGGAGTGTGTGTGGAAGGGTACTCAAAGGACAATTAGAATACATACTAAATACAGCAATGTGTTATAAAAATGGGGAAAATGAAACTGCCAAAAAGTGTTAAAACCAGATATGGATCGGGTTTTGTTAAATTTTTAAACCTTTGGAGACCCATCTTTTGAGATCATCTCCCTGTTGCAGAAAAGTGAGCCTCAGAGCGCTCCTTTACAGTTCAACACTGATGAAAATAAAGACTTCACAGTGTTTTTTCAAAACAATAGAAAGATATACATTTAAAAATATTAACTCTAAAGACTGTTATGCTACCCATGACAAAATTAAATAGTATGTAAGTCAAATAGGCCGATAAATGCTAACCCCAGCTTTGTGAGTTCTCCTATTTCAACAATTCTAAAAGTCTATTACATCCATAGAACTAGAATCTGCACCTCAGATTACTTGTTGGAAATGAAACTGGTCTGGGAAGCGTTTCCCAGCGATAGGAGAAGTACCTTTCCATAACAGCTAGGCACTCCTTTCTCCAGGTAAATCTACTCCCTCGCCGGAGTCGGAAGGTTCCAGGTGTGGCAGAGACTGGAGGAGGTGTTTGTCTCCATTCAGGGTCCTCTATTGGAATAGGGGCAGGTCTCATACTTAACGTAGCCCCTGGAATAAACAAAACATTTTTTAAGCATATATCTTATAATTTAAAAAACATCAGCATTACAAGGATACCATGAAAACAAGACAATGAGGTCTGAGTATAAGCTTCTTGACATTGAGACTTGAAGGCCAATATATTTAATATTTTTATTTTTAAAAACATGATCAAAGAGCTGTAGAGATTGCTTAGTGGTTAAAAGCACTGACTGCTCTTCCAGAGCACATAGGTTCCATTCCCAGCACCTAAATGGCAGCTAACCATCTGTAACTCCAGTTCCAGGGTAGCCAATGCCCTCTTCTGGCCTCTGCAGGCACTCTACACATATGGTTCAGACGTACACACCAGCAAAACACCTATACACATAAGACAAAAATGACCAAAAGGAAAAAACCTGAAACAGTAAAAGCCTACAAAGGTCATCCTAATTGCTACCTTTCCACAGCTCATGTGTCTGTTAGCTCCTTCAATGCATTTCACACAAAGCATGAGACCTTTTTCATCATAAAAAGCACTGGACTTTCCTTGTTGAGCCTTTTTTGAAATTCCTACACTAGGCCAGATGTGGTACACATCTGTAATCCTACTACTTGGAAGTCAGAGGCAGGAAGATCAGGAGTTAAGGTTAGTCTCAGCTACATGAGACCTTGTTTCAAAAAAAAAAGTGTAAAATACAGCAGTAAAGAAAATAAGATGGTATTTCACAAGCTATTAGTAAGCAGGATCCAGGCTCTACAGGCCTACCACCTACCAAGACCATATTGTTCACCTCTGACAGAACAACTTCAATCTGAGAGGGTTAACTAATTTAGACCAGCTATCTTCAAACAGCATCAGCGAGTTATAATTCACTAATTCTTGGCTTATCACATATCTTTTCCCATGGTTTGTTCTAGACTTGAGGCTAGCCTCAAATCAGAAGCCACACTGTCTCTGGCTTCTATGAACTTAGCTCACAGATGTGCACAGAGCTTGGCATGCTGCCATGGCAAGTCCCTACCTCCTCTTCCTCATTTACTCCTAGCACTGCTAAATCCATCTTTCCCAAACACAATTATAGTTATATCACTCTTTTGATTAAAGCCTCCAAGAAGTTCCCTTTGACTGTAGTTTAGCAAACTCCTTTTCTTTCTTTCGAGACAAGGAGTAAGGCAGCACACAACTCCTACCTCCATCTCTCAGTGTTGGAAGTATGGGCATGCTTCATCAAGCCCAGCTTATCAAAACTCTTAATATTGTCCTAGAAAGGCAAGTTAGAATTCAAAGGGTTTATGTACATAAGAATACATGTTAATCTCACACAATAAACATGTTTCTTCACGATAGGAACTATTTTCTATCATATAATCAAATAACACCATGGATATACTCTATTTGAATATCCACACACCCTTTCTGAGACAGGGTCATTCTATGTTGCTTAGGCTGGCCTTTAACTCCTGGCCTCACTAGTTTCTCTGGTCTTAGTCTCCCAAGTAGTTGGAACAACAAGTACACAAAAGTGGTCCCAGCTAAACTCCTTTCCTAACGGCAACATCTTTATTTGTATTTTCTTGGATGGAGACCAATGGTTTAAACAATCTAGATTCTCCTTTTAAACATATAGTCTATCTCTCCCTTCTTAGTAAATTTCTTCTTCAAACTGCAAGCTAAAATATCTCATCTCATTTTTAATTTCTTTATTCCCCTCCACATATTATGAAGCCAGTACTACGCAAATTTCATTAATTTTATATTCAAGACAAATCCGGTATAAAATTTTATATAGATAGATAGATAGATAGATAGATAGATAGATAGATAGATAGATA